AGGTTAGGATAAGTCTCCAGGAAATGCATGTAAGTCAATGTAATGTCCCCTGAAGTAATGTATACATGGTATGTGTGTGTGTGTGTATGTGTGTGTGTGTGTGTGTGTGTGTGTGTGTGTGTGTGTGTGTGTGTGTGTGTGTGTGCGTGCGTGCGTGCGTGCGTGCGTGCGTGCGTGCGTGCGTGCGTGCGTGCGTGCGTGTGTGTGTGTGTTTGCGTGCGTGTGTCTTGCTGCAGATACTCAAAGTGACCTTAAACTGCGTTTACATGTGAAATGATTTCCGTCTGGCTTCCCAGGAAAAAACATTTACCATCCTGATCTGAGTGAGTCCTGTTTGTCATGTTTTGAGCCACAAAGAGACAAAGGAAATTATTACAAAAAGACACAAAATCACCTGAAAAAGACGCAAAACAACTACAAAATGACGTAAAAAGGACAACAAATTATAAAAAGACATGAAATGACCACAACATGACTACAAATAGACATTTAATGACTGAAAAAAGATGCAAAATTACCCAGGAGAGACACACAATGACTACAGAGAAATACAAAACAACCACGAAGAGGCACATGAGCAGAAAGGCACTCGACACAATTACAAAAAGACACGAAATGTCCCACAAAAGAGGCAAAAAGACCCTCAAAGTGACCTCAGAGAGACACAATATGACCACAAAAATGACCGAACAATTTCAAAGACAGTCAAATGACCTCAAATAAAGTCTCATTATCAACTCGTGTTTGTACGTGCTTCATCCTTCTCTGTGTATATGGCCTAATAAATCTCCCTCACACAGGGAGTCAATGTGACAGTTATCAGATTAAAACTCTCTCTCTTCTTCCTCTCAGCTTTTTCCCTCTCTCTGTGCCAAATCCCTCTCAACAGTTTCTCTTTCTCATTGTTATTATGCAGATGAAGCCCAGTTAACTCTCCTCTCTAAATCCGAGTGGGATGAAAAGCTATTTCTGACAGAAATCAGTGGGCTTCAGAGTGAGATCACCTGCAGAGACTTTCTTTCTGCCATAAGAGAGTCCAACAGGAAGCTCTGTGTGACTGGATCTTCTGGGGAAAAGAGTGAGCATCAAACGTCTTATTTTTATCAAACATCACCGAGGAAATGAAAGAGAGTCTGCTGGCAGAACTAGGACAGTTTGAACACCTAAAAAAGTTTTATTTTCAGCATTAATTGATAATGTTTTTAATGCTGCAGCTCTCTGATGCTCTCTAGTGGGCAGGACGGCTGTCACAGTTTCAACTAGAGGATTACTTTCATTTTTATACCATATGTTATATAATACTGGAGAGACAGGGATTATTATTACTTTTATAAATAGATGTGACAAAAGCAGGGTTTTTTTTATTATACAAGGGTATAATGCAAAGTCTATGGAGGACTGAAGGTTCCGTTATTATTATAAATAATACACTCAATTTATAAAACTATGGAAAATGTAATGTATATGTAAAAGCTGCAATTTCCAAACAAAAGTGTAGGTTAATTTGAGAGAGTTAAGATTAACCAAAAGTGCCAACATTAAGGCTCCAAGAAATACTTAATTAAATGAAGAAATAAATAAGTTAAAGGTGGGGTAGGTAAGTTTGAGAATCCGGCTCGAGATACACTTGTTGTTATATTCCATGGAATGCTCTTAACATCCGATAGCAATGAATATCTGAAGTGCTTTGACAAAAAATCCATAATAAATATCATCTGTGGAAGCTGTAGTACTGTAAAAAGCACGACCAATCATCTGAGCCGGCCCGGCTAAAATAACTGGATGGCCTACCTGCCTGTCAGCCTTCCATCTGTGCACAAACTTATCTCGTGCCCTCATTGGTCATGTGCGCGTTCGTGTGTGTTGGAGGAGGGGCTCTGTAAGGAAGTGGGAGATTTTCTCCGGTTGTGTATTTTCAAATTCTAGCGCACTCGAGCTGGTTTCACAAACTTGCCTACCCTACCTATATAAATATATAAATAAAAACTAAAATAAATATAAACAAAGTAGAATAATTTAGGAAATAATCAGAAATTAAATTATAAAAATATGTCATTTTTCAAATACCTTAAAGGGGACCTATCATGCAAAAGTCACTTTTTGATGTCTTTTATACATAAATATGTGTCCCCGGTGTGTCAGGGAACTCACGCAGCATCAGAAAATAAAACCCTCTCTCTTTTCCTTCGTACCCAAATCTCTAAAAACGGGGGAACAACGGAGCTGATCCAGATTAGCGTCCGATATGACGTAATATCTGAAATGTGGACCCACGGCCCTATCAGAAACGTTGCTATCAGAAACAATGCCCGACTGTTTTGGACGTAATATGGTCGGTGTTTACATTAGCATTGCTAACACTCAGAGCTAACCTGTACTGGAGAGCATGTGTGTGAAGAAGCAGGAAATAAAAAGGAACTCACCTTGTGGTATAACCGGCAAGAGAGAAAGCCTTTGAGCTCCATACTGTTTCAGAGATAATCCTTGATAATCCATGATATGGCGTTTCATCACGGCAGTATTTAGTTTAGACAGTAGCTGCCGGGTCCCGCATGAGCTCAGACCCCTCCTTTTTATTTTAATCAATTTTTTTTTTTTAAAGCTTTATACCCCAAATCAGCACTTTTGAAACAGGAAGTGAAATAGAGGGATATGAGGCATGGCTAGAATGGGTGATCTGTTTGGTATTTTGAGCAAAACACTTCATAGACAAGTTTTAAATATATTTTTATATATCTGAGACCTATGCTATTGCCTAAAGATAGCATGATAGGTGACCTTTAAAATAGAAATACAATAATGTGAATAATCACTGTTATCAATTAATGTTATTAAAACTAATGTAATTTAAATATTGTTAAACAAGGCTCATTTCACATTTGGGCAGCAACCAACAATATTTTACTTTCTCTATGTATTTATTATATACTTGGTTTATAAAGGGTCAGATATCACAATTTCTCATGACATTCAACGCACTAAAAGGAACCAGAAAATATTCCTCTAACCTCAATTAGTAAAGTAACTTGCAAATATACATTTCCAAAGACCGTAGAAATAAGGTATTTTGATATGAAATTAAGCAGAATAATAAGGTAGCATTAAATGGACCAACCATACTCAAATGTGTACTTATTTATAGTTCAGTTTTTTCGTGTATATGGTGATAACGTTACATTTTTATGTAGAAACAATCAAAAAGACATACACAAAAGACAAAACAAAGTCAATAAATTGTGAAAAAAGTGTTTTATTCGCACTAAGCATGTTATTTTCCCTGAGAAGAAGTGTCAGTGTTACACAATAATCTACAAAATAGACAATTAAAATCCTCTAATTTCGCAGCTACAGTATGTCCACAGCTTCCTAATCATCAAGGCATACGAGATGTCACCGTGACAGAAACTGCACGTTAGTGTTTTAGTCGGAGTAACGAGGAACACTCTGAAGGCCTGTCCTACTTCATGGCACACATTTTTCATTATAACAGGATCAGACCATAATCTCCTCGAGAAATACCCACTGTGCCATCCACTATTTTACCCCTTTCATTTCGTCAAAACTTCAATCCCCCCCCCCCCCCCCCCCCCTCTGCCACACATTACCTACACAAAGTCCCAAAGGTGCTTTGATTGTAATGAGCTGCTGAGCAATGAGCTTAACTCCCGCTCAGGTCTGATTATTTTATACATTTTTATCCACACTTTGAATATTTCTGCTAGTCGAGGCGAAAAAAAAATGGACGATTAACTCAATTTAATTTTCACTACTCGTCAAGAAAGTCTGATTAAAAGGGAAACTTATGCACTTTTTGCAGTGTGCATGAAGTTGGGAATAGTTTGTTCTCACATGGCACATTGAATTTAGACCCTATTCCTTACATATCTGCTGTGCAAAGGATTGTGGGTAAGCATAGCCAGAAAAGTATGCTGCAAAATGTGACCAGGTGCAATAGGACTGGTATTTTTGTCATATATATTCTAAGTATATTGGTACTTACTCAATCATTTTTTTGGCATTCCTTATAGTATGGTCGTATGGGTTGTTGGAACACAGGAATTATTTTCAACCCCAAAAAAGTCCCTGGTCGGGGGTAGTTTTTGAACTTTCATAAAATTCAAGACCTTGGGGGGTGGACACATTTCTGATTTGTCACGATTCACAAGATGGCATTAACCACCATTTTTAAAATTCTATATCAGGGAGGCACTACTAGTCATGTTAAACATTAAAAGGCAGGTTAAAAGGTGTTAGTATGTCACTTTATTACGTTTAATGTTTTCAGGCAAGAAAATTCAACCATTAAGATTGCCAATATCTGGTTAGATTGTTAGTTTTGGAGATGACAAACAGCCTTAGACAATGAATAAGAGATACATGGATGTAGATTTGCTTAGTAGTACATGATGCAAAAAGGACTCCACTCTCGAGTATAAAATCCCCTGGATATTCTGGCAATCTTCCACATCTGCGGCTCCGTTTAGGCACATTTACATGATTAGAAAAAGGTAAAAGAACTCCGGTTTCGGCTATAGCGCATTTGTTACAACTTTTAGGGCCTAAGGGTGAGGGGATTCAAGTGTTGGGAACTTGATATACCAAAAAACGAAGGTTATACACTGATTTACAGAAGTCTCTTTCCCAATGTTAGGTCCGTATTGTGACTGACAAGGAAATTAGAATTCCACCGTTTGGCCACAACGAACATTTGCTTCCTAGATTGGCGCTGTTTTCCTTGAGACGTTCCCAGTCGTAGTAGTCAGAAGCAAGAGATTAGGTTTAAAACAGCTGTTGCTTTTTAATTAGTCTGTGTACTAATTTGCCTAATCTTGGTGGGTCTTTACACCACGATGGGAACAACAAGGGAACAAATGAAACTTTTAGTTTCCTGAAAAGTAGCTCGTAGGACTCAAAGTCCGAGAACTGTTGTTGAAAACCTGGCTTTTGCTCCAAATAGGGTTTATTTTCTGGCTGATTTTGACACATTCACCCTTCTCCCCTCACATTTTAGTGATGTCCATCGAGTCGTGAATGTCGATCACCTGAAACCCGAGGTTGTCGATGCCAAGCTTCTGCTGTTTGTCCTGATTCTCCTGATTGTGACTGTTGTGGTTTTTCTGGTCTGCGTCCGTCTCAAAGCAGTGGACGCAGTGTGGCGTTGTGACCCGCACGCTTTTGGAAAAGTTCGAGAAGTCCACCCGGTACTTTCCCGTCTTGGTGCGGGAGATGATGGGCAGGAAGCTGAACCCCCACTGGATCTCCTGAGGGATGTAGGAGGTTCGGACCTGGCAGGAAGAACTAGTGGACTCTGCTATCCCGTCCAAAAAGACCACCAACTCAAAGTCCTGGTTGGGGAGAGAGTCCGCTGAAAGCTCGTAGAACGGACTGGAAGTATTAATCACATGGTACAGGGTCAAAGGGCAAACAAAAAACAAGTTATCCTTTCCACTGTCCACCATAAAGTCGATATCCACCTGATCCAGAATGACGGTGTCTCCATCGGGAGCGGTCGTTGTCCTGAGCAGCTTTCCGTAAATCTGGCTGCCGATCAGTAACGTCTTTCGTAGATTCGCGACTCGTAGCAGAAGACACAGACTTCCTTTCTTCAGGCAGATGACGGCCGTGTCGCTGAAGGTGACGCTCTTCGCCCGCCTTTTGGGTAACGAGATCTTGGCTAATATGACGCCACACATGAAGCAATTGATGAAGACGCCGATTAGAGATTGGATGATGATTAGAGCAACTGTTCCGGCGCAGTGTCCGGTTAATGCTCTACCCCCGTACCCAATGGTGGTTTGAGTCTCCAACGAATAGAGAAACGCCGTCGTGAGACCGTTGACGTTATCGATGCACTGCACATGTCCGTCGGTTCGGTTCTGCCCCGTCAGATCCCCGTTGCTCTTTGCGATCCAGTACCACAGCAGGCTGAAGACGAACCAGCTGCCGGTGAACGAGGCCACGAACAGAAGCAGAACGAAGCGCCAGCGGATCTCCACGAACGTCGTCCAGAAGTCCAGTAGGTACGCAAAGTGGTTGCTGTACTCGATGTTGCCGAACTCGATGTTGCAGCGCCCGTCTTTGGTGACCAGGCGGGTTTTACAGCCTCTGTGTGGAGCCGGCTGGATGTGACCCTGGAGCACCTGGAACATCCTGTAGCTGGAAAGAGAGAGAGAGAGAGAGAGAGAGAGAGGTTAGTATTCAGGATTTAAAGGTCCCCTATTATACTGTTTTTCATCAATATATTATAGGTCTCAGATATATACAAAACATGTCTCTGAAGTGTTTGGCAGCACCCCCGGAGTACTTTTCCCCGTACTTTTCGCGTTTATTTCCGTTAGTACCCCTTATGTCGCGTTCACACCAAAAAGAGCACTTATGCCCCTTTCACACCGGCGCTTTTCCAGGTCCTGCTGGGAGCTAGAGCCTGAAAAGCGCCGGTTTTTCCTGTTCACACCGCAGCGGCGGCGCGTCATAGCTCCGGAATGCGGTTCACTTCCAGCTCCAAAAAGTTGTCGGTCCAGAGGCAAGAGCTTTGGAGCTATGACGCGGCGTCGCTTACGTCTCTCTTACGTCCGTCGAGGCGGAGGCGGGGGCAGGGGCATGAGCGGGGTCAACCTCTATTTCTCTTTAGAAAGAAGTTAGGATATAAAATACTGACATAAATCTAAGTGAAGGAAACAAACTCAAATGTACTGTGCCCTTACCCAGCACAAATGTAATGACATAAAGCTGAGGTTAGCACTAAATTGTTCATAACACATCCAAAGAGAGAGCGACCAATCCCTGATGAATGTTGAGCACAGCTGTATCTGCACAGCAGCTCAGGTGACTGCACACACTCACACACATTTTATTTTTATTTTGATACGCTTTGGGTATTGCAATTTCACACGTTTACAAAAGTAGCTTAATAAATGTAGCTCTCAGGTGAAGAAAGGTTGGAGACCCCTGGTCTAAACCTTTTGGGTATGCACTATTTTTATAAGAATATTGTTCATACATTCTTTGATTTGTATGTAAAATAAACATAAGTCAAGTCTTATAACATTTTATTTTTCTCTTGGACATTTATGTGAATTTTCAGTGATGTACTTACTGTATGTGGGCCATAATAATGTGAGAAATTGTCGTTGTCTTTGACCTTAATGAGAAGTATTGATTTTTGATAAGCTTTGGGGATTGCAATTTCACATGTTTACAAAAGTAGCTTAATTCAACCTATGACTACTATGTCAATAAATGTAGCTCTCAGGTGAAGAAAGGTTGGAGACCCCTGGTCTAAACCTTTTGGGTATGCACTATTTTTATAAGAATATTGTTCATATCTGTTTACATTCTGTGATTTGTATACAAAAGAAAACACAATTCAAGTCTGATCCAGTGATTTTATTGTAAGAGGCATGATACAAAATAGATCAGGTTTAACTGCAGTAATATTAGTGGTCCCCCATGTTGAAATACTCCATCAATGCAGATCTAACGTCAGCTCCTTCTTGTCTACCGTTCTCTGGAAAGGGGTGTAAAGGGGGTTGGTTGTACACAACTTCATGGCAATATTCAGTCGTCCCTTGAAAAGTCGTCCGATGCCTTCCATTTCGTCTCGTAAGAGGATAACCACAGCGAACAGCGCTTCAATACAATCGGCCATTGTTGTTGTGATTTCCGCGCGGTTTGGGTTTTAGGAAGCAGGCACGTAAACGGTTACGTCATGACGCAAACGATGAGGCAATGACGCAGTACCATCCCGGCTCTTGAGCGGTGTGAGCGGTGTGAACAGAGCGGGAGCTGAAAAGGGAAACGGGAGCTGAACCAGAAAAGCTCTCGCGAGGAGCTAGAAAGTGAAAAGCGCCGGTGTGAAAGCCGCATTAGTGCCGGGAACTTTTACCCCCATTTTTAGTGCCTGCTGAGAGATGGTACTTTCCTGGGGGAAAAAAGTGCCCCAGTTCTGATTGGCTGGGCGAATTGCAAACCACGCCCCGTACAACTCTGAAATGTTTTGTAGAGCCGCCATTTTATTATTAATTAACATTCGCCCAGCGCACAAACGCAGAGAGACTAACTTATGGCAACACAAAATAAAACATGGGAGCGGTGGAGATGAGGTGTTGGCTACTACTACTTCTACTGAAGCCAGTCCCCAACTCCGGGGACTTCCGGCCGGGGACTCCGGGTCGCAGTATACACCGTGAAGTGGTTTGCGGCCTGCCAGTAAACCCAAAGCAGAAGAAGACGATGTGACGTCAGCAGCTCATTTGCGTAATCTTCCCTCAGGGAACTTATTCCGGTGTGAACGTGATCTGTACTAAGTGGAGATTCAGGTGATAAGGTGTGTGGGGGGGGGGGGGTTACCTTGGTTGCTGATTGGCTAATGGTTACACAAGCCAAAACATCGTTATGACATCATAAAGTGGCCAAAATCTGATCGGCTCATTTTCAGACAGGTTTTTATAGAAATGGATCAGGACAAAAAGAGAGAGAATCTTTGTTCCTGAAACTTTCAGAGTCTCTTTACACAGAGGGGACACATGTTGATGAAGAAGAGACATGAAGAAGAGGGGACACATGTTGATGAAGAAGAGACATGAAGAAGAGGGGACACATGTTGATGTAGAAGAGACATGAAGAAGAGGGGACACATGTTGATGTAGAAGAGACATGAAGAAGAGGGGACACATGTTGATGTAGAAGAGACATGAAGAAGAGGGGACACATGTTGATGTAGAAGAGACATGAAGAAGAGGGGACACATGTTGATGTAGAAGAGACATGAAGAGGGGACACATGTTGATGAAGAAGAGACATGAAGAAGAGGGGACACATGTTGATGTAGAAGAGACATGAAGAAGAGGGGACACATGTTGATGTAGAAGAGACATGAAGAAGAGGGGACACATGTTGATGTAGAAGAGACATGAAGAAGAGGGGACACATGTTGATGTAGGAGAGACATGAAGAAGAGGGGACACATGTTGATGTAGGAGAGACATGAAGAAGAGGGGACACATGTTGATGTAGAAGAGACATGGAGAAGAGGGGACACATGTTGATGTAGAAGAGACATGAAGAAGAGGGGACACATGTTGATGTAGAAGAGACATGAAGAAGAGGGGACACATGTTGATGTAGAAGAAACATGAAGAAGAGGGGACACATGTTGATGTAGAAGAGACATGAAGAAGAGGGGACACATGTTGATGTAGGAGAGACATGAAGAAGAGGGGACACATGTTGATGTAGGAGAGACATGAAGAAGAGGGGACACATGTTGATGAAGAAGAGACATGAAGAAGAGGGGACACATGTTGATGTAGAAGAGACATGAAGAAGAGGGGACACATGTTGATGTAGAAGAGACATGAAGAAGAGGGGACACATGTTGATGTAGAAGAGACATGAAGAAGAGGGGACACATGTTGATGTAGAAGAGACATGAAGAAGAGGGGACACATGTTGATGTAGAAGAGACATGAAGAAGAGGGGACACATGTTGATGTAGGAGAGACATGAAGAAGAGGGGACACATGTTGATGTAGGAGAGACATGAAGAAGTGGATTTTGCATAACAGGTGACCTTTAAGTGGGAAGTCATTCTTCAAATTTGCCTTAATGAGGTTTACCATCTGTTTCATTCTGAAAAGTCAGCTTTTTGAAGACCATCATGGCTCAGTTCAAAATGTTGTTTCAAAACAAAACTCATCTTTTCCGACATAATTTGGCATAAGATGATTTGCTACCACAAATGTTTCATTGTTTGTTCAAACAGAGACTGAAGTGTCATCCATCTCTGGTTTTGAGGCCAGGTGCTAATTGTATTAGCATACAATACCTGCTATGCTTTGACTAAAGTTAGATTTAGTAAAATATAGATTTGTATAACTTTTATTTTAGTTAGGGTTAGGGAGATAGTAGTTTTAAGAAAATAAAGCACTAGAAAAAAATCTATTTGTTATTATAAACAAATATAAGAAACTCGTGAGGTTTTTATGAGCTAAGTTGTCAAGCAGTACACAAACAATGTTGGTGCTTGTAGACGTTTTAAAATCTAACAATAAGCATGTTGATGTTGCTGCTGTTAACACCTAATGTTGTTCATAAGCATCTTAAAAAGGATATTGTTACCTAGAGATTTACATGTGGCAGAACTCACGCTGAGTTGGTTTTAAGTCTTTTCATGGGATTTGTTGACAATAACTCATTGAGAATATCATAAGCTTTTATAATTTGACCTGAATCCAATTTAAGCCCTTTACAAGTTATTAAACGGTGAAACAATGGCTCTGATGAAGAGTATGTCAGAGCATGAGAACAAACAGTCAGTCATTTCCCTTATTTTCCATTATATTGGAAATACATCTGTTTAGTGTGGATTTACAACAGAATAATGCAGGTTATTGTGAGCACCTGTTTTACCGTGCAGCATGAACCATGTGGTCCACTTTAATCCTTACATAACACACTCAAGATTTACACTCAAGATCAGCCTGTTTGTTTTGAAAAGAAAATGGTACTAACATTTGAAAAAAACATATTTTTGGATTAAAAAGTTGTTAAACTATAAGAATAAACTCATTTAAAACATACGTTACATATGTATTCAACAGTTTACGAGCACATAATAGTATAATGATTATGACATTGCTCATTATGAAGTACATACTTAATACTTTTCATCATTTTGGTGCTTGGCAAACTAAGAAAACTGCTTGTGCTCTTGTTGTTTTTCCCAAGTTTCTAAGCATTGAATTCCTCCAGTTCTTTGTTTCACATAATTTGCAAAGCACATTTTAAATATTCAGCCACACACCACAGTGAGCAAACAAGAGAAAGTTAACTATCACACAGTATGTAAATTATAAAGTAACATTCCTCTAAGAAGCAGTTATCCTCAAGTAAAAGCAACACGTATCATTTCTGGGTTGTTAAAAATAAAAACATCTCAAACTTTTGCACACAAAACTTAAAACCTAAACGTAACCATCCACCATCAATCCTGTTAAAATAAAGCGTATGAAAGTGTAGTTTTCACCGTACCTGCTAAGTGAGACCATGGGTCCAGAGTGCTCACTCCGCTCAGACGCCTTTCTCTTCAGCGAGTGGCCATAGAAAGATTTTAATCCACAGTGAAATTTCCTAATCCCAGCCACATGCCGCCGTGCACACTGGA